AATAATTCTGTTTTCTATTGTATAGATAATTTTACTATGTTCATGTTATGGCTCTTTTAAAACCATAAAATGTATTTTTTGTCATTATAATCCCTTTTTTGAAAACAAGCTAGAGTAAGATACAAGATCTTTATAATCATATGAAAGAGCTTTCATTTGCATATGGAATGATACTAGTTAGAGTTAGAATCCATGAAGCATGAGTTTGTTACAACAGAAAAAGGGCGAAAAATGAAAAAATTTTGTTGTACCTATAACTTGTTGCAAAATAGCGTTGTAGAAGTAAAAACCTTGCTGCAGGTAGTCCTAAACTTTCTATATGGAACGGTAGGTATATCATAAGTAAGCGTCCTCTTGGATTTCCATAAATATCCTTCGAAGTCCTTGCAGCACAGCCTCACTAATGGAGGAGATGGGAAATCAACCAGGTATTGGGCCGGTAACCAATAGCAACATCAACCAGCCTACGCCCCCGTTTCCAATCCCTTTCATTTACTCTAATATCTATGGCTGAGGGGCGTGGTAATGACCACGTGACGTCATGCTTTTTGGAGAGCTTTTTATGGACTAGAGTGGTTGCTCTTCTCTTGGCTAAGAATACTAGGAATATGGCAGAGGGAGGTAGAAAAGAAGAAGAAATAAATCCTTTGTTTGGGGAAAGATGTTTGGATGACCCAGAGGAAGTGTTTCAGCACAATTCATGGTTTGTGAGCCTCCCCACTCTCTAGTTTATTTATACTTCATTCACAGGGATCATATAGAATGGGACAAGGATCAATTGAGACAAGCTGAAGAAACCATTAAAGTGAACTCTTCACAGAAACTTAGTGACGAAGAGCAAAGTGAGCCTATTCTTCAAAGAAATAATTTTTGGAGTTGCTAAAAAAATTGAGCCAAAGACTTTTGCAGGGACTGCGGCTAAATTTTGCCAAAAATAGCTATGAGAGAATTTTAAACTTTTATATTTTTTCCTGATACACATAAATGTTCTTATGTTGTGTGGAAAGTTTGAACTGATTCTGACCAAAGTTGAATTTTTTGCAAATTTTTAAAGCTGCTCCAAAATATTTTGCCAAAAATGGCTAGGAGAGAATTTTCAATTTTTATAATTTTTTCTGATACACATAAATGTCCTTATGTTGTGTAGAAAGTTTAACCTGATTCCAATCAAAATTCAATTTTTTGTAAATTTTTAAAGTTGTTCCAAAACCAAGCCAAAGATCCTATACTGTAGTAAGTAGTACAGTGATTTTGGCCCAATTTTGCCAAAAATGACTAGGAGAGAATTTTCAATTTTTATAATTTTTTCTGATATACATACATGTTCTTTTGTTGTGTAGAAAGTTTGAACTGATTGCGACCAGAATTGGATTTTTTTACAAATTTTCAACTTTGCTCCAAAATCAGGCCAAAGACCCTGTACTTTTTTAAGTTTGGGAATTCAGTAATTCTTTTTTAGGAGTCTTAAAGTCAAATGTTAGTCAGAAATGGGATGATTTTTACGAACGACACCAAACAAAGTTTTTCAAGGATCGTCAGTGGCTGTTCAGGTTGTTCCCTGAGCTACTAGGGAAGGACACGCCTCAGTCACTCCTTGAGGTTGGATGTGGAGTGGGTAACACTGTTTTCCCTTTATTACAGACAAAGAGGTATATCTTAAGGAGACAATTGTTAGCGGGTGTTTAATTTAGCAAATTTTAGCGGTTTTTAAAAAATCGCTAACTTTAATTTCTGATTAAATCCTTAAAATGCTAAATTAAATACCAGCCAAATGATAGTATCATGAAAATTGCTAAAATAAGTACATGCTAATAATTGTCTCCTTAAGGTAATTATGCATGTGTGTAGCTGGAAACTTTCAATAGACTTTCTTTTGCTGACTTTGTTGAGCTAAAATCTAGATTTCTCGGCTGATTTGTGAAAGTTTAATCTTGAAAGTTGCTAGCTACACTTATGATTATTGTAGCATTATTGTACTATCTATTAATGGCATTATTGTCCTTTTTACAGTAATCTTTTCATTCACTGTTGTGATTTCTCTTCGACAGCAATAGAATTAGTGAAAGTGAGTCGAGACAAAGGATTTTAGAGTATAAAATTTTGTCTGTCATTCTTTCTTGTTTAGGCTAATCCACTTTATGATACACAAAATTGTTCGGCATTTGTTCACGACATCGCAAGTGATGACCCACTCCCCCTTCCTCCTAACAGCATTGATTTAATATCACTGATATTTGTCATGTCAGCAATTCCCTCTGAAAGGTATCTGAAATATATTAGAGAGTAATAAGTAATTACTATAAAAATATAATTTAGATTCAAAGTAGCATTATCTAAGCTAGTGAGTGTATTAAAACCAGGCGGAAAGGTATTGTTCAGAGACTATGGGCGATTGGATCTTGCCCAGTTAAGGTTTAAAAAAGGTTAGTGGGCGTAATCTTAGCTACCCATTATAATTATGCTGTTTTAATAGGGAAGTGTATTGGTGATGATCATTATGTCCGTGATGATGGCACACTAAGTTATTTCTTCACAGAAGGCACGTAATGCAGCATTTGTAAATTAAAGATTTAGTTTTCTTATGAATTCAATAGAAGAGATGGCAGAATTAATGGAAGGAAGTGGATTAACAAAAGAATTATTACATACAGATAAGAGACTGATAGTTAACAGAGGAAAACAACTTAAAATGAATCGCATATGGATAATAGCTAAATACTGTAAACTAAAATGACAACAGCAAAATCATTTTTTGAATATTTATAAATGATTGAGTTTAAATTGAGTGGAATTGGTACTTAAACGATCCAACGAGAAATGAGAGCTTGGCGGCACAGTAGCCACTTCCTCTTTACTTGTACTCCTGTAAAACAATGGAGTTGAGCTTGTAGATTTTTGTCCAAAAAGAGGTGTGCTTGTCTTTGAAGGTGGTACATAATACCTGTCTGGCGTTGCACTTGTTGCTGCTACCGGTTTTTTAGGTGACATATACTTCATCATATCTACAGAGAAGCTACCAGAATACTTGAGGCAAGTAGTTGAGTATTTCTGCTTATGCAAGAGGCACTTGCTAACAAAGCTTTCTAATGGTTTAGCAAGGCTCCCAGTTAGACCACTACCACTAGTAGTAGTAGTAGTAGTGGTAGTAGTAGAAACTGGTGCCACTGACACAGAGTAAGGCTCTTTTAGCTTTGGCTTATTCACAGTAGTCTCAGAAGAAAGGAGGGGAGCAGGAGTGTCATGAAAATCAGTAAAGCCATGCAGCACTTCTGGTGGATAAGATTTAGGAAGAGTCCTGGATTTAGCTACAGTAACTGATGGATTAGATACAGGCATAACTGAAGGACTAGCTGCTAACAGTGGAGATACCAACTGGTTAGGTACATGCTTCTTTAAAGGAGTAGGTGCATGTACTTCTGAGGATGCAGGCCTTGAGATCATTCTTCTCTTCCCCCCTCTCTTCCAATTCTTATTGTTAACGCTATTAGGAGTGTTACTAGTAGTAACCTGTAGCTTTTCTGGTTCATTTCTCTGGAGTTTGTTTAAGAGAGGCTCTGGGGACTGGAGGCCAGGCTGGGTGCTACCAGGTGCTACAGCTCTTAATGTAGGAGCAGAATAATCAGTCACATTGATTACTTTATCCCAATATTTTTTACTCCCATCTTCATACACGGTCATCTTATGAAAACCTTTGTCACAACTTACAGGATGATTTGAGAGTCTAACTTCAAGCTGAGGAGATATCGTCTCTTCATATCTCACACTACGTACCTGAGGCTTGTAATCAAACTGTCCTCCCTTGTCATGTAACCGATTACCCTGTGATTCCTGATTCTGGTATTTTACAGGAGCACTTGGACTAGTACTGCTAACATTGCTTGATGGTGGTGGCAGATAGCTCAGAGGACGTCTCTTATTACGCTTTTTTCCATGAGACTGGCCGTACACTGGGGATGGTCTGTAATAATGAGAAGGCGGGGCCATAGTTTCATTCTTTCCCTTTCCTTTCTTCAGATAATCCAAAGTGGCAGAAACATTGCTCGTTTTGAGTCCTCCTTGCACTGGCTGGCTCTTCTTAGCAACAAGAGTATCTTCGGCATCATCATCTAATTTTATTACTTTCCTAGTAGTAGCTGATCCTATAATAAGGAACAGAGTATACTAGTAACAATTATTATTAATGATTACCTATATTGTTGACAGAGTTGCTTCTGACAAGTCTCTTTCTTTTTGCATCTCCATTAGAGGGGAGAGGAAGAGCAACTATACAAAGAATGCATGGAATAGACAATAATATTAACACATGTTACATGTTAATTGCTTCAATACTAACACTACAATAACAATTACACTTGATGTAAATTAAAATTTAAAATTACTCGAATTACTCTTCTTTGTCAGCTTGATCATTCTCTTTCCATTAGGTGGACTGGGAGGAGTTGGAGAAGGTGATATTTTTAATACTGATGGCGATGTTGTTAAATGTCTATCATCCTCTAAAAGATAATCGTCCCTAAGAGAAATGATTGACGTGAGATGATAGTAATGGTAATAGATAATGCATTCATATGTATCTTAGGCATAAGTAACAACTAAACCACACCTACAAAACTCCACCCAAAATGGCAAATTAACTTTTAAAGTTGAACTTACGCTTCAGATAATTGAATACTTAAAGCTTCATCGTCCTCGTCCAACAATCGGTCATCCTGGTGTGCAAGGGAGAGGATAAATTCGAAAAGAAAGGGTGACTTACCTGTGAAGTGAGAGAGACGACATCGATTATTTCCAATTCCATTTCTTTAGCGCAGTCGCACGTGTTTCCCTCCGTATATTTGGCCGTGAGTTCGTATACTCTAAGAATACTGGAAATGCGTGGTCTATGCCTCAGGGTCTTTCTTCTCGTTTTCTTATTTTCCTGTACAAGCGGAGGAGCTAAGAAAGTTGTGGAAGATGACTTTGATGAGTTTGAGTTTGAATTTGAGTCAAATGAGGATGAAGAAGAAGTAGAAAAAGGTAATGGCCATTCACATATTGACACTCCCATGCCCCACCTACCACTTGTACATAATTTATGGCAACCCATGATAGCTTTTTCTAAAAATGTCCCTTTAAACCAAAATCCTCAACTTGGGTGAACAGAATACTAGCATTTTGTCTTGAATTTGAACAATTTTTGGAGGGCATATTGCCCTTCTTTGCTTTCAAAGTAAAACATGTACATTATGTTGGCAAGGGTAAACACACTTTAGTGCTCTTGATAATCATTTAGGTATGGGTCTGCTTGTTGATTAGACCGAGAATGAGTTATTATGTAATTAGTGTTGTTGTTGTTATTGTTTTTATTGTTGTTAGTACCACCAAAAGATGCAGACGATTTTGATGCTGAACAAGATGAAAGTGAAGATGATGATGATGAAGTGAGTTATCATTATAATGGACTACTGTCATTAGTAACGGTATTCCATATAAGGAAGCAAGGGATGATTCCGATTCATCTGACACTGACGACGAATTCGACACTGAAGAGTTTGAAGTTAGAGTCTTCAATTATTTTACTATTATAGAATCAATATAAATATATTTATGGTAGACTCCATCTGAAGGAGAAGACACTTTAAAGTCAGGAAAAGAAGCATCTGATTTGAAGATTGAAGAGGTATATTGCACATGTACATGTACACAATTGTACATTTGTTTTGTATTCCATTGTAATTGTGTAGAGTGCTGTGACAATCAAGCCATTCTTTGAAGCCTATCTTGTGGAGATATGCATATGCTTGGGAATAGCACTGTACATTTCAAACTATTTACTAGGAAGGACTAAAAATACCAACATTGCTGAAGGATGGTGGGTTGCTGCCTGAATTATTTGTAATGTTACCTTGTGATTCTCTTTCTCTTTGTTCCTCCCTCCCCAGGATGGTTCACAATCTACCTATACTCCACAGTCAGTTTGTGCTTGTTGGTAAGTTATGTTCTTCATAGCATGAGTTTTTTGAATTTCTTAAACTTTATTGTGTTTTTGACTGGGCCCGAAATTTTAGATAATTTTGAAACATTCATAAATTGTAAAATTAAGTTCTCTGCAGAAGTTTTTATGCCATACAGTGTACGTCACTGCTTTCTCCTCTTCTTTCTTTAGGTGATGATGGAGAGGGAGAGGAGCCCACTCAGAATCACGTTGTAAGGAGGTCAGAGAACAGTTTTACTGTTTGGGCATCTGGGCGCATCAACTGTGATGGTTTGCTAGTTCATTTAGAAGTGAGTCATCAAATTGTTATTATTATAATATTATTATAATTATTGTTGCTGTTGTTAATAATTAGTTAATGAAGCGTCACGACCTTATACATGTTATCCTTGGGTTGTTTCGTCCAGTTCCTGACACAATAGTAATAAAAAACCTACCGGAGCTACTCCTCTAATCATTCTCTCTCTTTCCATATTATAGTCATTTATATTTCAGTGTGCTGATGGAGACATGGACAGTGTCATAACAGCAATATGTCCCAGGAAAACTGCCACTAAAATGAGCAAAGAATACGAAGACCTTGTGAGCTGTAATAATGTTGGTAGCATTGATTGCTTTCTCTTCTAGAGTAAGTATTGTTCTGGAATAAGGTCAGGAGAGAAGCATAATCTCCCGAGCTCTCTCTCTGTCATTTCTGAAACGTTTGATTCGGCTATATCAGTCCTCTCGGGAGGTGTGGCCAAGTTTCTTAGTAATCATGCAGACATGCTCTTATCCCTCCATGTTACTGATCAATACACTGGATTGAAAGAAGAAGGGTGAGTCCTTAATGATATCAGTCACATGACTCTCATGTGATCACAGGGAAGAGTCTGAGACTGTGACTATAAAGAAAGGAGAGAAAAGGATCCATCTGACGTTCAAGTGTATGTCTCCAATATCCCCTTCATTTTAATATTATTTATTATACTCTCAGTGCCTTCGGATCTTGACCAAACCACTGAGCTGCTGGATTTTGCTCTGAAACTTCTTGATCACGTCAAGCACATAAGACTCAGTAGAGAGGTGTGTAAGGCCATGTCCAAACTCCTTCCACTAGTAGGCTTATCTTCTCATTTCTTGTTTAGGCAAAGGACAAAGCAACAAAGAATAGACAGCTGGTGGTTCAAGAGCAAGAGAAACTTCAGCATCAGCAAAGACAAGAGGTAGAGAAGGAGGTGGTGGTATTTCATTGCATTTCAAATAAAATTAGGCGCAATTGTAGTAGATCACACACCTGCCGGTATTACTTTTTGTGAACTACTTGCTTTCCTTTATTATGCAGGCTGCACAGCAACGTAAAGAAGAAAAGAAGAAAGCAGAGAAGGAGAAGATGTTAGAAGAAACTGATGCAGACAAAGTCAGGAAATGGGAGGTGAGTCAATCAGTGAATGGATGGATGGAATTTAAATTATTATTGTTAGGAGAAAGAGTACAAGAAACAAATGAAGAAGAGCCAGACAAAAATGAAGCAAATGAAAGTCAGAATGGGATGACTTCCAGGAAATACTTTATTGTTTGACCAATTGCAATTATTTTGTGTGTCAATATTACATAATTTATTAGCCATAATGGCCAGTAAAATTGACATGATAATATTATATTAATTATAATGGGCTGTACATGTTATTTTTAAGAGGCGCGGCTATTAATAAAAATTGTCGGCGCATGTGGTGCTTCAGAGGCTTTGCTGTTGTCTCTTCAGTTCGTTCAGTGTTTTGTCTAAAATCATTGTCAGCGGCGAGGCCTGCTCCTCCATCTATTGTCCATAGAAGCAGAATATTCTATAGTCATTGTGTTGCTAGGGAAGGAGGAATGGCTGCAGCTGATCCAGAGAAAGAGGCTCTCCTCTTACCATTACGTAAATCAGTACAAGAACAGGTAATTGGAATGAATAGGGCCATCAACAATAGTGTATTATTATGTGCGACTGTAACTGACAAAAGGTACCATTTGGTGGTCAATTTAAAATGTGTCAACTTGCAAGTGTTTTTTTTTGATAAAGTAATATTTGTAAAAATCAACAAGAACTTTTTGCACCCTTTCCAAAAAGATTAGTTCAATTAGACATGTGCAAGATGGCATTTTTTCTCTGTAATGATGAGTTTAATTACTGACGAAATGGTACCTTTTGTCAGTTCCAGTCGCCATACTTTATCACAAATTTTTCGATATGTGACCATAATTGACAAAAGGTACCTTATGGCGGATAGGAAAATTGGTCTTTATAGCCTTAAAAATCCTATTTCCTGAGCTCCATTCATCATAAAATTGCTCCAGAGGATGCAAAAAGTTACTATGTAACTTTTAGAAACAATTGTTGACTAACAGAGCACTCACAGGTTGATATTTTTCATCATAATGATGAATTTTAAAATCCGCCATAAGGTACCTTTTGTCAATTATGGTCACATATTCAGAATTCTTTTTAAATTACGCATTAAAAATCCCCAGTTGCATGCACAAAACTGACGAAAGCTCATACCGTAGGGCGACTTTTTTCGAGGGCTGTAAGTTTCTCGGATTTTGCGATTTTCTCCAAGATTCGTGAAAATTACTTCTGCAAAAATGAAATTAATACAGTACCAGATGGCAGACAGCATAAATTTGCGAAAATTAAATCCACAAAATTAAAATCCATGAAACCTATAGCCCTCGAAAAAAAGATGCCCTACGGTATATAAGTATGTGATGTGTGTTGATAGGGTGAGGTAGTGAGGTCAATGAAAGAGGCTGGAAAGCCACAACTGGAAGTACAGGAAGCATTACAAGAATTGAAGAAGAGGAAGAAACTGCTAGAAACCAAAGTAAGTAGAGACTTGTCTAATCTAGACTATTGTATAGTGGGTATTTTAGTCAGGGAAATGTATTGAGTCGATGTCTTTTTTGTTTGGAAAATATTCATTCCACAACGAATGAGAATGAAATTAAACTCCAAGAGAATATACCTGCTATATATACATTATTTAGGAAGGAAGATGTGATTTTGATTTGTTATTCTACAATAGGAAAAGGAGTTATATCCACTAGAGGAGGATTTTCATTTTGTATTTTAGTTGGTCGTTCGAAATCCTACTTGTCCTTGTTTCTGTTACTTTTTTATAAATTCGCTCTAGAATCCTACTCCATCTTGTTTTTTTTTTAAATTTTTAGTCCATGATTTTTTCCAAAAATGGCTCCAAAATCACCCCTAATTTTTATTACATTTTCTGATGCATATTAATGTACTTATGCTACGTAGCAAGTTTGAGTCAATTCCAACTTCAATTTTTTGAGTTATGACCATTTAAGAAAACTTCAAATTTTGGAAAACTACCCTGTACTATAGCCCATGATTTTTTTCAAAAAATGGCTCCAAAATCACCCCCAATTTTTATTACATTTTCTGATACATATTGATGTACTTATGCTACGTAGCAAGTTTGAGCCAATTCCAACTTCAATTTTTCGAGTTATGACCATTTTTTTTTAAATCCAAATTTTGGAAAAATACCCTGTACTATAGCCCATGGTTTTTTCCAAAAAATGGCTCCAAAATCACCACCAATTTTTATTACGTTTTCTGATACATACTGATGTACTTATGCTGTGTAGCAAGTTTGAGCTGATTCCGACTTCTATTTTTTGAGTTATGACAATTTAAAAAAACTCCAAATTTTGGAAAAATACCCTGTACTATAGCCCATGGTTTTTTTCCAAAAAATGGCTCCAAAATCACCACCAATTTTTATTACGTTTTCTGATACATACTGATGTACTTATGCTGTGTAGCAAGTTTGAGCTGATTCTGACTTCAATTTTTTGAGTTATGACAATTTAAAAAAACTCCAAATTTTGGAAAAATACCCTGTACTATAGCCCATGGTTTTTTTCCAAAAAATGGCTCCAAAATCACCACCAATTTTTATTACGTTTTCTGATACATACTGATGTACTTATGCTGTGTAGCAAGTTTAAGCTGATTCTGACTTCAATTTTTCGAGTTATGACCATTTTAAAAACCTCCCAATTTTTGAAAATTACCCTGTACTAAAAATTAAAAAAAAAACAAGATGAAGTAGCCAGTAGGATTCCAAACAACCAACAAAAATACGAAATGAAAATCCTACTCTCATGACGCAAATTCTACTCTAAATTGTACTTTTAATGTTATTATGTAAGAAATTACAGATCACCTTCCAATGTAGAGTAGAATTTGCATCACGAGAATACGATTTTCATTTCGTATTTTCGTTGGTCGTTTGGAATCCTACTTCATCTTGTTCCTTTAAATTTTTAGTACAGGGTATTTTATGCTATGTAGAAAGGAAGATGTGATTTTGATTTGTTATTCTACAATAGGAAAAGGAGTTATATCCACCAGAGGAAACTCTCAATCGTTCTGACCTTGAAGACCTTGTAAAGAGGCGGTTTATATACGGGCCTTCCTTCTCCATATATGGAGGATATACCGGCCTCTATGACTTTGGGCCAATGGGTTGTGCCATGAAGGCCAACTTCCTCTCGGCCTGGAGGCAACACTTTGTCCTAGAAGAAGGAATGCTGGAAATAGACTCGACTATTCTAACACCAGAGCCAGTTCTAAGAGCTTCCGGACACGTTGAAAGGTTCTCTGATTTCATGGTAAAGGATCTTAAGACCGGGGACTGCTACCGTGCCGACCATTTGCTGACTCAGCATCTTGAGAAACTGGCAGCCGATCCTAAAGTGACACCCGAAAAGAAGGCGGAGTATGAGGGCGTGGTCAGACAGGCTGATAACTATGGGCAGTCTGAATTAGGAGAGCTGTTTGTAAAGTATGATATCAGGGCTCCTCTCACTGGTAATGAAGTATCGGCTCCTCTTGAGTTCAATCTCATGTTTTCAACCACCATTGGACCTGGGAATGGAATATCAGGGTATGAGAATAGAATATTATTACTTTTACTATTACTTTAAAATATGCCACAATTTGACAAATACCTGTACTATAGACTATGCTTTTTTCTAAAAATTGGCTTTAAATCACCCCAATTTTATTATTAATTACTTTTACACATTGATGCCTCTAATTGTAATTTATTTTCTTGCATTTTTATAGTTTTCTTAGGCCAGAGACAGCTCAAGGCATTTTTGTCAACTTCAAGCGTCTCTTGGAATTCAATTCTGGCCGTCTTCCATTTGCCGGCGCTCAAATCGGCAAAGCATTTCGTAATGAGATCTCCCCTCGCTCCGGCCTACTGAGAGTGAGAGAGTTTGAAATGGCAGAGATAGAGCACTTTGTCGATCCAAACAAGAAGAACGATTGCAAGAAGTTCTCTACGGTTTCCGACCTCAAGGTCCTCCTCTACTCAGCCTCTGATCAAATGGATGGTAGGTCTCCCCGTGAAGTCCCTTTAGGTGAGGCAGTGTCTAGTGGCCTCATTGCTAACGAAACCCTCGGGTACTTCATCGGCAGAATACACCTTTTCTTACTCAAAATGGGCGTGGCTAAAGACAAATTGAGATTCCGACAACATTTAAGCAATGAGATGGCTCATTATGCCTGTGACTGCTGGGACGCCGAATGCAAAACAACTTATGTGAGTACATAATAATTATTTCAGAGTACATGCATGTACAATGTATTTTATTATCTTTAGGGTTGGGTTGAGTGCGTGGGGTGTGCTGATCGTTCATGCTATGATCTGACGAGACACTCACAAACGACAAAGACCGAACTGACAGCAAAAGTGGATCTTCCTGAACCAGTAAGTACCACTAATAGAGAAAGCTAAGAGAGAGAGAGAGAGAGAGAGGGAAAGCACTGCAAAAGCCAATTATTCTAATCTTATATAGCAAGAGTTGATAACATACCGTAGATCGGGAAATTTTTGTGTTAAAAATAATTGGTGTGAAATTTTTTCAAGGTGTTTTATTTTCGTTGGTTGACCCATCCACGAAATTTTTTTAACACGAAAAATTTTGGATGCGTTATAAACGGAACACGTGGCTACTAACTCTTGACAATGGTGGACTGCTATTCGATGGAAGTTGCTCGTGACAGCACTGAAACTGACAAGGAGCCTCTTGGGTGAGAGCTTCAGGCCTTCATTGGGCTTTAAGAAGAGCCTCGTGCCAGCACTACTGCACGTTAGAATAGATTAATTTCGGTAATCTAATTATTCACTGTAGAAAATATTTCATGTGTCAAAATTTCGTGGGTCACTTCAACCACGAAAATATTCTAACAACGAAAATTTCCCGATCTACGGTAGGCGGTTGCAGGCCTGAGCATTAGGGGGCGATGCCCAGCTGCAAGTTATTAACAACAAGGATGGGTCACTTATAACTAATGCACTCACGTGATCTGTTTCCAATCCCGGTCTGTGTATTAAATCTATGATATTTGAGTAAAGCTTAAAATATGAGCATAATAATGAGCATAATTTGATTCATTTCAAAGCATAATAGGATGGAATTTGGAGCAGTGCCTAAAAGCATAATGGGCAAAAATTGAAGCATAATTTGCCAAGCCCTAGCCTAGGTTGACTTTTTGACCAATGATTATAGTCATGATTCTGGTGTGGGCATCTTTTGTAAACTGTGGTGAATCAACAGGCTTTTCTTAGTTAAGAAACCATCTCAATAAAGCATTTTCTGTATCATATCAACTCAATTCTCAATTATGGATGGAAAGTTGGAAACCACACCCACTAATTATTGACGCCCAGGTCATAGGTATTAGAGTAAATGAAAGGGATTGGAAACTTCCGTTCGCGGCAGGAAATGCTAGTTACCCATTCCATGATAATTTCCCTATTTATAGTAATTTTTTCAATTTTACAATAGGATTTATTAAGAAAATTATCAAACAAATAGTACAACTTCATAATGGTTTTTCTCAAATTGTGTTTATGTCACATACATTAAAGTATGTGCGTGCCCTCAAGTGTACATCAAGCTTTGCTTTCATATCACATTTAAATGTGCCAATCATTGAACTGTAAAGAAAAAGGTACAAAATGAAGGTCTTTGCAAAAACTTTGAATTGATTATAAATCAGTCACCAAATCTGTCATTGGAGTCATTTATGTTGCGTGCCCTCCATAATAATGTATAGAATAGTTGGTAATAGTTAATTCTGGTATTACTTCTTTTGTATTCTAAAAAAAGGATACAAAACCACAATATTGAAGGTACCGTATTTCCTCTAAAAATTCGTCACATCAAGTTTTGTATTTGTAATTTTTAAAAACAAATTTTTAGAGGGAGAGTAGCTATGAAGCTCAAAAATAAATTATTTTTTCGAATTTGGAGGGATCTATTAATACACGAAACCAGCTGTATACTAACCTGGCTATTCAGAGTATCCTTCTTTCATACTGAACTTAGGTAAGTGATGAAATTAGAACCACGTGGATCAATAATATTAAAAACGAATTTTTAGAATGAATTATGGTAGAAATTTTGAAATAATTATTTATTTTCAAATTTAGAGCATCGAATATTTAGAGGAATTACGGTATCAGGTCATTAAATCAAGCTTTACCCATAGTTATCAATATTATTTTATTTCAAAAATTAGACAGACTGTAAGGGAGGTATCTGTAATGCCTTTAATTATCATTGCAGAGGACGAACACAAGTCACTTTAGAGTTATGAGTGGAAATAGGACACCGAACAGTAAAGGAAAAGGCCCAGGAAGCGTAACTTGCCTATATTGCTAGGCAACCTAATATAATAATCTTAATGAATAATCCGCCCACACAACAGAAGTTTCGAATCCCTTTCATTTACTCTAATATCTATGCCCAGGTCAAACAAAATTCCTGTAACCGCCCATTGTTTCAGGAGTGCAGGGGTAAAGCTCCACTTCTACATTATTGTAAACTATTTTAAATGGCAGTAGACTTGCAGAATACTAGAAGATTATAAAACATTAAGAGGCTCAGCCCCCTAACCATGCTGAAGATTGTTGTTAAGCTTCCTTGCTGCTAGAGAAATCTTTGGACAGCATTGCTGACAGGCACCATTATATTATTTTTATTGACCACACCCACTTTTAATTAAGATTAGGCTGTTATTTTTTCTAGATGACCCTGCTGCCCATACAGACAGACAGACTCACTTCATTACTAAGGACCTTGCCCAATTAAATTTACACAAACCTTTTTGTTTTTAAATGAAGAAAATCTATTGTGTATGATAGCCATTAATTGCCATATTTGACGATGCCTAATTTGTCTAATGTCTACTATGTATACAAAGGTGGGCTGTAGCCTGTGGGGAATGACAGTGGGCATGGCCTCCAAATTTTTTGCATATATAAGCTACTACTTGTTATGCTTCCTCCCACTTCTGATCTCTTTTCACGCCTCTTTGCCATGTGGCATGCTTTTTGCTTATTTTTTTAAATTAAATTCGTAATGGTAGCAAAATTAATTTAAAGTTATCAGAGTCTCCTCGTCATCATTACCATCACTTCACTATCTTGTGATAGTCTTTATGCCCATTCCAGGAATTCATAGTCCTCTCCCATGCGGTGAACGTTCTGGCGTCTCCCTCTAACCCAGCCCCACAGGGCCCTCAGAATAAAGTATGAACAGTGCCACACGGCCCTCAAAATAAAGTATGAACAGTGCCACACGGCCCTCAAAATAAAGTATGAACAGTGCCACGTACACGGCCCTCAGAATAAAGTATGAACAATGCCACACGACCCTCAGAATAAAGTATGAACAGTGCCACATGGCCCTCAGAATAAAGTATGAACAGTGCCACAGGGCCCTCAGAATAAAGTATGAACAGTGCCACACGGCCCTCAGAATAAAGTATGAACAGTGCCACATGGCCCTCAGAATAAAGTATGAACAGTGCCACAGGGCCCTCAGAATAAAGTATGAACAGTGCCACAGGGCCCTCAGAATAAAGTATGAACAGCCCCACAGGGCCCTCAGAATAAAGTATGAACAGCCCCACAGGGCCCTCAGAATAACGAAAAANAATTTAACAATCTGGCACAGGGCACTCTGAATGAAAAAGAAGCAACAAATTGAGTTTATTTATCAAGCAACCTTACCAGAGTTGTTTGAATCTCTGTGAAAAATTCCATTTTGTTTGCTGCTTTAGCTTTTACACCAATTTA